CTAGTTAAAAACTTCCAGAAGAAGAAGTAACCTGCCCGAAAGAGACAACGGAATTTCAAAAGAAGTAGCAAACCACTCGAAAAATTCTTTGGAGTTTCAAAAGGAGGAACAAACCGCTCGAAAGAAACGAGACAGCTCCAGAAGATGGAAAGCCCGTCTCGTGCGAGCGGTTTACTCCCTTTTCTGAATTCTCTAGTGTTTTTCGAGGGGCGCGATCCTGCTTTTCAAATTCTCCAGCGTCTTTCGAGCGATTCGTTTCTTCCTCTGAACCTTTCTATTATCTTTCGAGCGGTGTAATTTCTTTCGAGCGGTTTGCTCCTTCTTCTGGAATTCTTTAGTCTCTTTCCAACGGTTTGCTGCTTTTTCTGACATTCTTCAATTTCTTTTCGAGCGCCTTGCTTCTTCTGCTGAAATTCTCGAGTCTCTTTCGAGCGGTCTGCTCCTTCGTTTGAATTTTTTTAGCATCTTCTTTCGAACGGCGTGATCCTGCTTCTGAAATTCTCCAGCGTCTTTCGAGTGGTTTGTCCCTTCTTCTGAAACTCTCTAGTGTCTTTCGAGCGGTGTGCTTCTTCTTCTTCTGAAATTCTCGAGTCTCTTTCGAGCAAAGAAATTCTCTAGTCTGTTTCGAGCGGTTTGTTCTTTTTCTGAATTCTCTAGTCTCTTTCTAGCGATTTGTTCTTCTCCTGACATTCTCTAGTCTCTGTCGAGCGGCTTGCTCCTTTTTCTGAAACTCTCTAGTCTCTTTCGAGCGGTTTGCTCCTTTTTTCTGAAATTCTCTGGTCTTTCGAGCGGGTTGCTTCTTCTCCTGAAATTCTCTGGTTTCTGTCGAGTGGCTTGTTCCTTGTTCTGAAACTCTCTAGTGTGTTTCGAGCGGTGTGCTCTTTCTTCTGTGAGTCTTGAATTTCTTTCGAGCGGTTTGCTTCTTCTTCTGGAATTCTTTAGTTTCTTTCGATCGGTTTGCTGCTCTGACATTCTTTAATTTCTTTTCGAGCGCCTTGCTTCTTCTGCTGAAATTCTCGAGTCTCTTTCGAGCAGTTTTCCTTCTTCTGAAATTCTTTAGTTTTTTTTCGAGCGGTTTGCCGCCCTCGAAAATTCTTTCTTTAAGACAGGATGACCGAGAAGCTAGCTCTCCAGAACCCCACCGCAACAGGAATGACTGCGGATTCCATCGTCTGGGCGTTCCGCAGCGAGCTTCAACAAGGCCTGGCGCAACAACAACAACAACCATTTGGTGAAGAGACCCTTGGCATCATCGAGGAAAGGCTTGCACCAATCAATAGGCTCATCGGGGAACTCGAGACCAAGGTCGTCCAAGCCGCCTTCTACAATATTCAGGAATTATCCGGAACCGCCAAGCAGTGCATGGGCGGTCCAGACGACCGGCAGAAGCAGAAGACCCGCCGCCACCAAGGGCCCCAAATGGCCGCGCACGTAAATCGGCCCCGCTGACGGCCACAGCAAACACCCACGAACCACACAATAAAACACATATTTCGTCGTGAGCCGTTGGCCGAAACCAAACTAAGAAGGTGAGATGTTGTAGCATGGTTATGTGCTGTCTGCTGTATGACCAATGTTGTAGCGAGGCTTCATCATGTGACCATATATCCAACGGCATGATGATTTATGGAAATCATAGATAGCCAAAAAAGCCCTGCAACGACGGGGACAGTGACAGCAACCACCGACACTTGCACAAAGCCCCTCAAAGTCAACGAGGCGGGGTCTTCGGGGCCGTGCACGTATAGGGGTTTGCAGTCGTATCTCACTCCACAGATTTAAAGTGGATACTGGCATGGCGTTGGAGCTCAAGAGATGAGGGATCTGCCCCTCCTCCAAACGCCATGCAAACAAACAAGAGAGAGAGAGAGAGATAGAGAGATAGAACGATAGAGAAATAGAGAGACAGAGAGATAAAGAGACAGAGAGATAGAGATAAAGACAGAGAGATAGATCAAGACAGATACAGAAAGAGAGAGAGAGAGAGAGACAGAGACAAAAAGAGAGACAGACAGACAGAGACACAGGGAGACAGAGAGAGTGAAAAAGAGAGACAGAGAGAGAGAGAGAGAGAGAGAGACAGAGAGAGAAGAAAGATACGATCTAGCCTTGTGCAAAGAAATTTTATTAAATAAGAAATTTAGATTCTAGTGGAAACAAAAATAAAATATTTGAGACTCTCGTCCAGAAGGAAATCCTAACTAGTCATGCTTTTACATCTTATAGGCTACACCAGACTTAGTTCAATGGTTTCTGATCGATTCGTAGACAATTTGTGAAAGGTTCGGCTATCAAAATTCAACGGCGCGCTGCTTTAGAGGGCAAGGCAAGGTGGCGTTTGGAACCAAAACGACGCGGTAATGAACTTGCCCCTCGCCTTCCCCTTCCCGGGCCATCAAAGTTCAACCGCGCGCTGTTTTAGAGGGCAAGGTGGCATTTGGAGCCAAAACGACGCGTCGTTAAACTTGCCCCGGCCCGGACACTCCGATCTTTATTTGGGGTAATGCTCTGGTATAGGGTATTTAATAAATAATTCTATATCCTCATGGCCGAGTAGTCAGTGGACATAATATGGATTACTACATATGAAAATTCTTATAATCGACAACCAATATGAAAAGATAAGGCTCAACATACTAATATAAGACTATAGAATAACTATGAAATATATTCTATATTTAAAAATATAAGATATTAGAAAACTATATTCGATTTCTAAATTTTTCGGAAAATTATCACAAGCAAAATTTTTCGAAAAGAAAGAGAAACGGTATCTAATCATCTTCCATACATTACGAGACCGAAGTGCCGAATTTCCCGATCCCCAAAATTTCCAAAAATTTAGAATACTAGATTTAGCCCGAGACCAAAAATTACAATCCGAGCTTCTAAATTTTCCAGAAATTTCGAGTCTCGAGTAGATCAAATCGACTCGCTCGCCGACATCCAGAAATTTTCTAGTAGATATAACTTTACTTTAGCCATAACATTATATAGAATTAATTCTCGATTTCTATATTATTTATTAAAATTCATTTCAATATATTTTGAAAATGAATATATAATAAGAATTATTTTACTTATTTAAATATTTAGATATATCAATATTTTTCACATCTACAATTAATTATAATTTTTAAAATTTCATTTCGCAATCGAAAAAAATTGTCAGATTTTTATTTTTTGTTTATTTCTATTTCTTCTAATTTTTGAATTTTCTGATTAATTTTTGAATGCTAAAAGAATCTATGAATTATATGATTTTTTTTCAAAATATTCCAAATTAATATAATCAAACTTATATTTTTTATATTTCTCACAGTTGAAATCCTACCAATATACTTCTATAATATAAATGACTACCATTTGTAATTTATAGCAAATGAAAAGTACGGGCATTCGTTCGCAGTTCAAGGCTTTGGAGTCAGGAGTTTAGGGTTTCTGGCGTAGTTATTCAGGATTTAGAGATTCTTGAAGAAGGATTTAATAACTAGAGATCCGATTATATCTATTAAGATTCCTAACTACAGTGGATGCATGTCATCCAAACGTACTTGGTGGAGCTCCAATTTTGCGGACATCTATGTTTTTGCTACGATTGCAGACTCAAGATTTCGGGTTCAGAATATGGTCTGGTATTTTGCTTTCTGTTGGCGCAGTATGGCTATAAACTTGAAGGCCTGGGAGTCAGCGCACGTTAGAGGCTGAAGTCTTGAACTGCCATTAAGTGAGGGTGTTCTAGACAGCAGAAGGCATTGAAATTGTTGTGAATGTTGCTTTCAAGTAGACTGGAACATCTAGAAAACTACAAACCGCTCGAAAAATGGCTAGTTCGTCCATTAATATCGGCTGTTCGCTCAGACGAAGACTCCCTGCAATGCCGGAAGAACGAGCCCATAGTTGCGGATCAAGTATCCCTCCCAAGTCTTACCGAACACGCAGGTGGTCAAACACCTCTCTCTTCCAGAAGTTCATGCAAATACAGCGTTGCAAATCATAGATGGACCCTGAAAACAGAAGCACGATCTAAATCGTCTGGAGCCGAAAAAGTAGGTGGACTTTACCTAGTCAAGAACATGGCCGGTGAAGGGATGATGTTGACAATCCTTCATTCCGGAATCGGCGATCTGTGTGCGGCAGACTCTACATACTACATGTCTGAGTCCTTTCCTTGAGTGACATGAAAACAGTGACAACAAAAGCAGTTTGGCGGACAACTTGAGGTTTAGCAGATAGACTTCGGCGCAGCACTAAGCAGTTGGACGTCAGGGTTTGGGGTGTATCGAACGCTGGCGACAATGCCAGAAAACCTCTCTGCACTGTCGACGAAGGAAGCCATGCAAGCCGGTTCAAGAAAAAAGCCGAGACTCTGCACTTGCAGGGTCGCCAGCTGCCGGAGTCCGCTGTTCGCTGCATGCTGGAGAAACGCCGACAACCACTGCTTCCTATTGTTGTCCGGCTGATTACAAAGTCCGAGTCATGAAAGACCTGGAGTATATGTAGCAACTCATGTGCTTGCGCAAGCCGGTCTCGTTGTTGACACATACGAGGCTGCAGCACTGGAGAACACATTGCCCGATCTGTACGGACAGGTAGGACACACGCCTAGAGGGCCTGAACAAGTCACGAGAGGAGCTTTTTATCACAGGTATAATATTGGACCCCTGTCAGAAATACAGGAAGACTGTTGCTAGTTATCCAGGACCCTGCATGCCAGCGCCTTTCTTCAATGCTGAGCGCCGCTGCTGGGACACCGCTCGAGAGCCAGTCACGGATTTCATGGCAGTCCCTTGCTGTACATGGAAGGCCGCAACAGCTTGCATAAGGAGGCTTCAAAGCAGTAATGGCCAGGGTGCGACCCTCTCTGTTGATGGGAGCAAATGAAACAGCACCCAGGGCAATTAGACGGATAGGCTTGTGAGCCCTAGGCATGAACATGAGGGTTTAACCCTCTTCAACATGTCGAATCATGACTGTACAACCGCCCATGTCCCACACTCTCAGAAGCACTTGCGGTGCACAATATTCGGGCCACTCTCATCGTACTCATCTCTGGAAATCCACATCTGCTGGAAGGTGCTGAGGGAGGCCAGGACAGAGCCTCCAATCCACACGCTGTACTTGCGTTCTATGGGCGCCACCACCTTGACCTTCACGGTGGCGGGAGCCAGCACTGTGAGCTCCTTGGTCATGCGCTCACCGATGCCCGGGAACATGGTGGTGCCTCCGGACAGCACAATATTAGAGAACAGGTCCCTTCGGATGTCCAGGTCGCACTTCATGATGGACTGGAAGGCGGTGTCGTGCATGCCGCTTGCCTCCTTGCCCACAAAACTAGGCTGGAAGAGGACCTCCGGGCAGCGGAAGCGCTGAGAGCCCAGCGTGATGACGTTGCCGTCGGGCAGCTCGTAATGCATCCTCAGCAGTCGTGCAACAGGATATTCCGGCATGACATTGGCAGGAGTATCGCGAATGTTGCGACAAGGCCAAACTGAGCACATTACATTCTGCGGCTTTGCGTGCGATTTGTCTTGCTATGAACGATGCAAATTTCTTGAAGTCCTGTAGCTAGACAGCTAGACCATGGTGAGAAATTTTAGCAAGCAATATCTCCCAGGCACACTTCTGAGGACAAAGAACAAAGCAAACTGATCTTTGCTCAGCCAAGCATCTCTTTGTCACTGCCAAGGCTGGCGGCCTTCATCTCGCCGTCGAAGTCCAAGGCGACATAGCAGAGCTTTTCCTTGACGTCTCGGACAATCTCACGCTCGGCCGTAGTAGTGAAGCAGTAGCTGCGCTCAGTCATGATCTTCATTAGGTAGTGCGTCAGGTCACGGCCGGCCAGGTCCACACGAAGGATTGCATGTGGAAGCGCAAAGCCCTCGTAGATAGGCACCGTGTGAGAAACTCCATCGCCGCTGTCCTGGCGTACGCACGAACCACCTGTGCAAACCTAGTTGGATTTTTAGACCTTGCGGGTTTTTTCCAATTACATGGGCATTATCGAAGCCGCGCTGACACAGGCCAGGGCCCAGCCCGCACTCTCTAATTCTTTGAACATGCCCGGAACCCCTCAAAGAATTTGCTCCCGTGAAAATGTCCATCACGATGCCCGTGGTGCGGCCGGAGGCGTAGAGAGACAGGACTGCCTGAATTTCCACGTACATCGCCGGAACCTGAGCGGACCGTCCGGGATTTCAGGTGTTGGGGTTGCAGCAGACCCAAGTCCGAGGCTCAAAGAGAAAATGCGAACGTCAAAGGGCTATGTGGGGCTCGAAGAAGTGTTTGCACCACGAGTGGCAGGGTTCGGGCGCTGGGCAGACAGCGATCGAAGCCGTGACTTTGTGCGGAGTCAGATGAATGGTATCATGGCAATTGCAATTCGCCTCGCCCTTGGCCGAAGCGGCATCCTGCCCGTGTCCTCAATTTTGACCCCGAAGCAAGATTGCTCGCCTTTGCTTCGCCTCCTTCATTCCATTTTGTGCCTCTTCGACCGCATCACCTAACTCATTCCTGCCAAGACTGGCAGAGGCAAAGGACAGGTCGGAGCAGGAACTCTTTAGTAGTTACAGCAGTGGTGACTTGTACAGCTGCCAGGCTTCCTCGGCCAAGCATGAGCTCTCCACAATGTTTCAGCCAAAAGGTTGAAAGCAGGAAGCAGGCTGCCATCACGGTTAATTATGGCCTATGGCCCTATGGCTCATAGGAGATACATAAGGCTTGCGGCCTAGTGTCTTAATAACGCAGCGAAGTAGGTTCGGTGCGCTGACACTCCAACATCGGGCTCTTCAAGGCATCCAGTGATGTGAGTCAACTCTACTCATGTTAAGCATGAGCATGTCCATATCAGGATGCCTCCGACCAATCAGATTCGAGGAACTCCTCCAGAAAGCAAACATTACCGGCGATTTTCCAGGAGTTCCGACTGCAATTAGAACGGCTCTTCGGAGTACAAGTATTAAGCAAGCTCGTATTCATTCCATCTCAGGGGCATTGAAAGTCTCGAACATGACCTGCGTCATGCGCTCACGATTGGCCTCGGACTTCGGACTTCGGCCCTTCATGCTGAATTTATCTGCACTTGCCTAATGCAGCAGATTGAAAAGAAATGGTGTGGGGTCGTAGTTTACCATACATTTAGGAGGAAAAGAGAACATTGTTGCACTCATTACCCACATTGGCCTATGGGTTGGGCGGGTTGCCGCTTAGGGATAGATGAAATCTGGTCCACCTTGAGAGAATCCAGGTTTAAGGGCCTTCACAATTCTGACCGTGCCAACTGCTCCCTTTTTCTATCCTCGTGCTCGTGTGGACGTATGCTCCTCAACCTGCGACCTCATACCTTGGACTACCGCGGCTACCCCAGCTTGCCCCTCTCACCCAAACGAAATGCTGAATCCTAAGCACGAGGCTCCATTCTGAGTCCACCTGAACCCTAAAGTGTAATCTCGGGTGCCTTGGGATTCATGGGAGCCTCCGTCAACAGCACCGGATGCTGTTCGGGTTCCACCCGTAGCTCGTTGTAGAATGTGTGGTGCCAAATCTTCTCCTGAGCTTGCATCGGAATCATCTACGGTCTCACAAACTTCTGCCCTCTTAGCAACGGTTATAAGGGGGTTAGTGACTGAGTATAACATTGCTGTTCCTGATTCGTTAGTAGCTGCCGCAATTGCAGGCTCATGTATGTAGTGCAAAAGAAGCAAACGCTTATCCTGATATATGAAAAAACGGAGTGAAGCAACGTATCTCCTAACTCACAAAATGAAGATCTTCGTCTATCAACATTGAGAAGGAAGCTAGAGGGCCCTGTCCCCACCGTGAGAAATCATAGGAGAGTTCCGGAGATAAGGCTTCATTGTTGCTGCTGTGTGGAAAAGGAAATCACAGGTCTTTGTATTGTTGCTGCGAATGAACAAAAAAGCCCTTGGCATGTTTGTCTTTCACCGAAGGAATTCTCTTATCTCTTGTGGTATGAAAAGAAGAACAACCATGTCTATTCAAGATGTAAAATCTTAACTTGGATTCAAGACACAGAGCAGCAATGGTTATTTCGCAAGATGAAGCGAGACAAGCGTTCTCTTATATTTCTTACGGGGATATATAAGAAACAACAAACCCGCAGTTTATTCATTGACGGAATGTAGGACTGTTTTATTTGGATGAAGAGGAATCATTGTGCCTCTTTGTGATGCATGAAGATTTCCAGAGGAGGAGCGGGTTTTGTGTTTTATGGTGTTGTGTTTAATCGAGAGAGGCTGGTTGCCTACTCGATCCAGAAGCAACCGGCAGTGGCAAACAGAATCCGTTTTGTTCAGGTGGTTTTCAACCGACACCTAGAAGTAAAATGAGTAGCCGTAAGTATAGGTGCAGTGGAGAGACCACCGTACATACCGATGGTTGCTTGACTTGGGAGACGGAGACAGGAGATAATGGAAGATCAGTCGACAAGAAGGCTGGCATGGATCATGCGGGGGTGTAACCATCTATATCTAACTCTATATAGTCTGTATCTATATCTATCTAGATATAAGTTTATGCATATGACCTGCAAAGGCATATGCACACAAGGATTGCTGAAGACGATAGTGTAAGGAGAGATGGTTGGTGCAGCCGCGGGTTGCCTACTAATGCCTGCGCGGAAGATTGCTCGCTCCCGGTGCACAGTTTCAGCTCATGTCCAATGACCGCAAATTCCAATACATTGGGCATTTTGGCAGTGGTCCCGGTAGCATTTTGGTCATTGCCTCTGGGTTCCACCACTGAATGACAATGAAGGGGAAACATTTGGCCGTGCTGTCCTGAGCCAGAGTAATGTCCAACACTACGCTTCCTTGTGCAGCGCCATGTGAGTTTGGCGCAAACCTTCCCAATTTGTACGAGAAGGAATTGCATTGGCATGAGCATGGTATGAGACTAGTACACACCCTGAGCCCATGATAGGAGCAGGGTGGTTCAGCTGTGATTCTCTGAAAACCTGCATAACAATCCATAATCTGAAGATGCGGGCTCCGCTCGGCCAAGGCTCCATGTCGTCCCAGTTGGTGACGATGCCGTGCTCGATGGGGTACTTCAAGGCTCAAGGGCTGAAGGGTTCGGATCTGGGGGTGGCTACGTAATCAGGGTGCAGGGCGGTGCGGCAAGAAGGTGGTTGTGCGAATGTCCTTGAGAGTGAGGATGCCCTTCTTGCTCAGGGCCTCATCACCAATGTAGGCATCCTGGCCAGCCGCCCAAGCTGGGCAGCCCCTTTGTTAAATCCCTCCGGCCTGGAAGTGGGGACTGAACTCCATACAACCTGCCTCCAAGACCCGGCCGTGCGCTGTTATCCTACCCCTGAGAAGACATGTATAAGTTAGTTATGGCACCTATGAATGACTTATCTTGGAGTTATGTTAAGTTATGTTATCCAAGTTATGACTTAAGTTACAAGTTCCATGAGTTGTTTGGGCGTCACAAAGCAGTTTTGTCGTTGCACGGCTGTTTTGTACGGAGAACAAGTGTAACCCGACCTCTTGTCTTGGGCGAACACCAGCAAACAGACACGCCCGGACACATGCGGGACACATTCTGGACACACGCCCGGCCACAAGCGACACATCCAAAAACTACGGGGACACATGTCCGGACACAAGAATTCGTTAACTATCTTTTTCAAAAACAAAAAACAGGACCGGGCACATCCGGGACACATTCCGGAAACAGTGCGCCAAACATGCCCGGACACGTTCCGGACACATGCTGCCGATGTTTTTTTTTTTCAGCCTTTTCCTCGCTGCAGTTCCTTAGCCTTCGGCCAAAGCTACATATACGAAGAAAAAGCGTAAAAACCAAATGCTACGAGCAGAAACCATGTGTTCCGAAACATGAACTTGGGGCTGTATTCTTGCAAAGCTGCTCAATACTGCTTCTTGTACTTCCATCCGCAAACAACTCCAAAGTATCAACTTTTGCTTGCTAAGTCTGCTAAGTTGTATAAGTTACTTACTATTTTCAGACTGTAACTTACCTAAATAAGTTATAACATCGGAAAATAATTGACAAGTTTTGCATGGACTTAAACAATTTATACCTAGTGTTAGCCAGCTTGTAAATGGATTTGGGGAACTTGTAACATGACTTATAAATCAGGGGCCCCTACACTGTACGGCTCCAAGCATGCAGAGCTGTTAATTCCAGGAGGCCCTGCTGCAATGAGCTTAGGGACGTCAGACCTACCGGACCTACCGCACCCGCTGGGAGTGTTTAGATAATTCTGTCTATGCACCCAGCCTTGTAATCCATGCCAATGATGCAAGCGCCTCGGATCAAGCAGGCTGAGCTTGCACCATGCAGGACTGACTTTTTGAGTCTGCGACTGGTGACCTGTTCGTGAGAATGGTAGACCCTCGAGACAGCCAAGACGTCGGGGATGCTCATGCAGGGTTTTTTTACGGGTTCTGCAGGAGGCAAGGAAACTGCCGTCTCGTCAGTCTCGAAGTCTCAAGTCGGCACCTTCCTTGAAGTCTTGTCCTCTCTTCCTTTCACTTGTGGAGATGACACAGAGCCCAAATCTCTCCTAAACCGCTACCCTTAAGCACCAAGCCCTGAACCCCACGCAACCCGCATCAACCCCAAACCCCAAACGCAGAAACGAAGCGACGCACCCTCGGCCGCCCCACGATAGACGGGAAGACAGCGCGCGGTGATTCGCTACCAGCGAAGCCGGCCTGCGGTAGAGGCCCAGCACCCCAGGTGGTGCGTACTGGATCCTCATCAATGTAAACACACACACACACACACTCTTATGTTCATTGCTTGGGTTTAGCAGAAGACAAATTACATTGAACAACGATCCAGTGTGGATCTTCTGGGGCCGAGGGCTTCAGGGTTTGGGGCTAGGGATTTCTTTCAAGCCCAAGGTGGTGGGAGACCCAGGCAACTCAGAGAAGCATTGCAAACTCCTTCAAGCCCCAGCCTTTGAACTGCATATCTTCCAGGCCTTGCACATGCCGCTGCCGTTGTCCAACACCAAGGCAACTGCTTCCAGTCCGTCCATGCGATCCATGGCAATTTAAAGCGGCGAAAAGTTGCCAAGAGCTTCCGAGTGACTGCCAGAGCGGTACAGACTGCGTGATCACAAAGCTCGGCGGAAGCCACGTTTCGCTTTGGGATGAGGAGGGCTTTGAGGTGTGTGTTGCCTCAATGACATGGGAAGTTTTCGAGGGATAGTACGGTACGAGCAAATTCTTCAAGCTTCTGCATGCCTGTTTGTTGGTGGTTGATCCACGACAGATTATGGCCTTCCGACGCAATTCTGGACCCAAAGAAAGGCTAGGACCTTACTCTGTATTGGGGACTCGAGCATCCCCATGTTCAATGACTATCGGCTAGGTTTTCGGGATATGGTGGATTAAAGGACAATGCTCTTAAATTTTGAAGCTTCTCCAATCTAGCAGCGTATATTTCCACCTTGGTGGGTGCCTAAAGTAGTTCTATTTCGCAATGGAGACTGCAGCCCTCCAACCTACACCCTCTTTGTCCCCGTGTGCTCCTGTAAACCCAGCCTTAGCCTTTCTAGACCACATGAAGAGGGAAGGGGCTGTGCGATTCTCTTGCCTCAGCAAACTTGCTGATGAGAGGCAGGGTTTCAGCATGTCTCACTTATTCTCAACTGGTCCGTTCACGGAATACTCATGCAGCACGAGCGTTTGGTCGCCACGCCAGACACTACAGCAAAACTGTTCCAGGCGCGTTGACGGCATGCCAAGTAGCGAGAAGATTCTGACCTAGCCGGCAGCATCATTTGCTGAGGCAGCAGCTTAGCTTCGAACAGGCCTTTGCTGATCGCTGGACACCTGATGTCCTGATTGCGCATTCCTCCATATAGGTTTGCGCTGGGCAGTTGACATGATGACCTCGGGCATCTTTACTGCCGAAGCTTTCAATACATTCTCATAGAAAGAATGACGAATTGGTTTCGAATGAAACTCGGATGGCTTCAAAAGGCGGAGTCTTCACCATCTTCGAAGAACGGTGTGCAAGGACGGTTTGCCTTTGCTAGGAGCGATGCAGTACCCATGCGATAGCGCGTGAGGGCCCTTCTCCCTCCGAGGTTTTTCGAGTTTTGCGCTTGTGCTGGCAATGGCCTACGGTTGTGCCAGGAGCAGTGCTGAGTTCTCGGCAGCGCAAGCATCACAAATGTATCATCGAATTTGTCGAGGTGTCGGTATATGAAGCGAGAAGGCAGCGTTGAATCTGACTTGATCAGTAGGCCATGCAGTCTCAACTAGGAAGACTGAGGCAGGTGGACGCCGAGGACACTGCCAACTTTGTGGTGTGCATCCAGCCCACGCTTGTTCAACTTCGTCACCCCTCAAAAGATGCACTTCAAGCGGATCGTTCCCGGACAGCAAAAGTTCAGCAGAAGGCAAGCTGATGGAACATCGCTCTTGCTACAGCTTGCCCGACCGTTGCATTCAATCAGCAACAGAGAGACAGCAGCCTAGGCGACCCAAGCCTTCGCTTCCTTCACATGGGAACAAAGGAGCCGGCGCGAGGGTTCTCCAGCGCTTAGTGCGTGTCACTCGCCAGGCTCACAAAGCTCTCAGTGCAAGGCATCAAGCGTGGCGCAGGCCGCTCCGCCTCCGTGCCGGCAGCGAAGGCCAAAGCCGCAGCGGGGAGCGACAACCGCGACAGCCTACACTCTCACGGCCAACGCTGGAAGTGCCTCAGGCTCGTCTGGGCTTCGACACTTTTGGCTCCCGCGGCTTTTTTTTGGCAATCATGCACGGGTTGCTGGCTCTGGCCCAAGTTGCTTTCGCCCAGAAGAGTGGACAGACACTCCACCAGAGCCGAGAAAGTTGCCTGTGCATCCTCGGGAACACTTTCTCAGCTTTGCAGCAGTGGCCTTGCTGGGCATACCTTGGCCTTGGTGATGCTGAAGCCGTGAAGAACCTGGGAAGCATGCGAGCCCACGAGCATAGTGCCTATTCCGTGCCGACATGGCCTCGGTGGCTGCTGTCTCACAGCTCTGCCAGCATGCTCCCGGCCTTGAATCTTGCGCGTCAGCAGCCGTGATGCCGTAGGATGCCAAACTAGCGCCGCAACTTTTTCATCTGTCGCGCCTTCTTGAAAATGATGCAGGCATCGAGTGCAATGTGCTTACCATCAGGCACATGCATCCCGTGTTGGACAGGGAGAGGAGCGAGTTGAAACATTGTCACTGGTGGCCCTTGGCATCTGCTGGGGCTTCTGGCCTAGCTTGAGCATGGCCTGAACTGGCAAGACCGGTGCCCGATGCTTTATTGCATGAGGCACTCGTCGACGAAGCTTTGCAACACTTCCCCGTTCAAGCAACTGGCATCTCACCTGCGATGGGAACGGCAAGTAGCAGGGTGCCAAGTGTTCAAGTACTTTGGACTGTCGCTGTCGTGCAGTTCACAGTGCACCATTCCCAAGACTGGACTTGAGGCTTCGGACCAAAGCTGAAGCTCGTCTCATGCCCAGATACCCTCTCTTGCTCCAGCAGCGCAGCTGTCTTGGCTGATGGCTCTTCAAATCCTATTTTTGGCCGTCCGTTTCAAGCGCACAGATTCGCAGGCCTCAGGCCAGGGCCCCAAGAACCGAAGCGCCGATTGGCAGAAGTGCTTCGGGATCAGTGCTGAGTTGGCAGGTGCACACGACGTGAACGAAGTTGACTGCTCTTAGCTGGTCCGTTTAACGACCCCTGGAAAACGGCGGTTTACGCATCCGCACTCACCGACGTTTGGCAACCTTCGAGACAAGCAGGCCTGATACTCCGGAAAGATTCGCAAAACAGCCATTGGCCCGTTTGCGAGCGAGTCGACGGCGTACTGCTTCAGGGGCACGTCGTTGAACAGGAGAGACTACAACTGACGTTGCTCTTACGATAGGGAATTTGGGCTGTTCTGATTTGGGAAACCTTTCTGGGATTCCGGTTAGACGCGATCCCTGTGATTTAGTGGCTTGAAAGTGGCTTTAGTCAGTGGTACTGTAGAAACGCCTTCTTTGGAGCAAATCCTCTGAATGCGCGCCGGCCTGAATGCGGTTTACCGCCATTTACCGCCGAGGGCTGGGACGCATCAGTCGGACCTCGGAGAAGGAGAGCCGCATAAGGAACTCAGGGAGGCCTCGAAAAGAGGGCTGCAGGCTGCGACGGGGGGAGAGCCCAACGGTTCCGTGGCAGGTCTTCTCCAGGCTCCATGGTGCGATCAATATCCCTGCAAATCTGGGCCCATGTGAAATGCAGGGGCCTCCAAAGTCCTTCAGCAGCTGCAAAAACTGGCGTTCAAGACCATGCGCAGGCCATGTCTACCAGTCTACTTCACCTACCCTTCCCGACTCGACGTCCTGGCACCAGCAAAGCATCTCAGCTGTCCCGGCTACTCGCGCGGCTTGGCTCCTTAGGCCAAACGCGGCAAACGCAGATTCGATCAGAGCAAGGGGCCACTTTGAAAGGCCGCCATGAACCTTTCCAACGGCAGCGCTGCGGCGCTGAGCGCGCAAGAAGCTCAATGTTGCAGTGTCATATGGCAACATACCGGACTTCCTTCTGCGTTGCTCCAAGTGCTCAAAGCGACCGACTGTCTTGTAAGAGTTCAAGGCCATGCACTTACCAACCTAACCTTCCCGGAGAGCGTTGAAAAGATTTTTCGCAGTTCTTGACTCAGGGCAACTCATGCGCAGATGGTGCCATCCTCCAAAAGCTGGGCAGCGTGAGCAAGAAACCCATGTTGGGATTGGGGATGGGCGGCCAATGCTTGCCACGATTGGAGAAAAGGATTGGTGACATGCCGTGAACCCAAGTCTGATCTATCAGACGCATCTGCAATCCGGTATCTGACACAAGATTCATGAGGCCAGGGAAGTATGCACATCTGACTCTGGCAGCGTGCGCCTAGCCAAGCTTCAGCCGACATGTTACCAGTGCGGCCACAAAGGATACGATCAAAGCTCGTTTGAAGCGAAACGTGTCACCATGCTGTAACGATACCGTGGGGGGTGGGACAGAAGCCAGCTGGCCGCGCATTGGCTCACTCTGCCTGAGCGAATTGTTTGGCTTAGTCTAGTTGCCGAGGACACAGTGGAGGCCTGAAGTATGCACATCTGACTCTGGCAGCGTGCGCCTAGCCAAGCTTCAGCCGACATGTTACCAGGGCGGCCACAAACGATAAGATCAAAGCCCGTTTCAGGGGGTAGATACCGCCGGACGGAAGCCAGCTGGCCGCGCATTGGCCCACTCTGCCTGAGAGAATTGATTGGCTTAATCTAGTTGCCGAGTCCCTGGACACACAGCAGG